GCAACAAGATATTTTCAAATCAAGAAGATCAACTGTGATAGTGAGCGCTCCGATTAAAAACGGTATTGACAGTTTCTGGTCTTATTTTTGTGGAAGAAATCACCATATCGTGATTAAGAGAAGAAAAGACTGCACAATGAATACGTGCACGCGTGCGGTGTCAGTGCTCTCTCTTCCCAAATGTGGCCGCAGAAGAAAGTGCGAGGCATATTGAAATCAGACAATATTTACGGCTGAAGAAATTCACTTCACATAACGGTAATTATGAACAAGATAGCTTCCCCAATAAAATTACTGCCAAACAAAACCTGGAGAAACTAAGTGTTTCCCTATGTTCCTTTTTATTTTAGTCCATGTGCTCAAGAATGATTGCGGGAAAGAAAAGAGAGAGGAGAGCGAGTAAAAGGGAGCAGAGAGAAAGAGCGCCATAGCGAGATGGGCTCTGCTGAGGATTGGTTTTGCTTTAGAAACTGGAATGTGTCCAGGCTTGATTTTTATTTTCAATTCACATTTCAGATCCAGCTCCCCAAACTCTTTGATCTTTCTCCCTGTCTCCTTACCCGGAAGAGAACCCTTGGCCTTCTCAGCTGGGAGCTGGGAGCACACGTGGAAAGACTGGCTGGGATCCATATTCTTGCCAAATTTAGTCACACAAAGGGGCCTGCGAGGGAAAAAATAAAGGATGAAAGCTGCAGCCGCCGCGACTTCAAAGGCCGCGCCGCCGCGCGGGGCCCTGCGCAGGCGCCGCCCTCCGCCGATATAAGGCGCGGCTGGCGCGCGCGGGCGGGCTCTGAGCGCGTCCCCGCCCGGTGCGCGTGGAGGAGACCACGGACCCGCAAGCCCGCGGCCCACGGGGGCCAAAGGGGCTGCCTTGGCTCGACCCTGTCCCCAGGTCCCCCGGGGCCAAGTGAAGAAAAGTTTTCAGAAAGCAGGGAAAAGAGGTCCCCCCCCCCGCCCCCCGCACATCCATCCCCGCGCCCACCTCCATCCCGGCCTTTGCTGGCGCAGACGTGACGCCCTCCCCTCTGGGTGGGAACCTGGGTTCCCGCCGCAGATCCGAAACACGAGGGCGCGTGGCGGGGGGCTCGTTCTGCCCCTCTGCGCCCGCCGCGTGTCCCCTTGCTCCTGTCCTCAACCACCTGGGCTCGGCTTCTTTCTCGCGCTGGGCAGCATGGGGACAGGAGCTCGGGCAGATCCCACGCACGGATGGCGGGGTGAAATGTGGCTGTGCCTCGCGGGTCCCTAGACGGCCGCGCCCCGGGCCGGGCCTGACCCCTGGCGATCCGGAGCCCCGCGAGTCTGCGCCGAGCTGCAGACGGAAGTCAGGCGTCCGCAGGCGGCCGGATTTGGGAGCGACATTTTCACGGTCCCACGAGCTCTGCTTCCCCGGAGGACGGGGGTTTGACTTTGTTTGTCTTAGGCGGAGGCGAGAAGAGGCGGAAGGGCCCCTGGGACGCAGGCTGCTATTCCCTCGCCCCCTCTCCCTCCTTTCCCGCGACGCCCGTTAAACTGCAAATGCCCACAGTCTCCTGGCGAGGCTGGGGTGAGAAATCGAGGGGGTCGGGGTTCCGCCCCTGGAATCGCATTATTCGTTTTTAGTTTTGTTTTTTAACTCCCTAGCCCTTCTCCCTGCTTCTCTCTCTCTTGGAGCATCCTCTTCCGTAGGCCCTCACCACCTCCTTCCTTTGGGATCCCACCAAAGTTGCTGCTGGGACAGAGTCCAGGCCACACAAAGGGAAGACCCGGGGTCCGGGCGGGGGTTTAGGACGAGGGGGCGGAGAGGGCTGCGAGGGCCCCTGTGCTTCTGGTCCCTGTAATTAAGGACTCACTGGACGGTCTGTGGCCGACTCCCCTTGGCAGCCAGATCACCAGGGGGAGGGTCTTCTGGAGTGGGGGTGGTCGTTCTCCTGGTCCCCTGTCCTGCTGGGGGCTGGGCTCCGTTCGCCCCGTGGGCAGCCAGGCCGTCTCCGCTCCCCGCCTGGTCTTGGTTCCGGAGCGGCATGGGCGCCTCGCCCCCCAAGCGCAGCGCGGTGCCCAAGGAAGTGTTGATAGAAAATCAGTTGTCTCCCAACCCCAACCAACCAAAGCCACCAGGAGGGGAAAAAAACCAACAGCCATCCAGCCAGCCCCCAGCAATTGTTTCACGGTCGGAATTCAATCACATCAAAACGCCCCCTGAAACCCACATCCTGAACGCACAACAGCCAACCTCCCGTGGTTCGCTCGAGTTCACACGAACAACCTGCCTCCACATCCGAGGCCAGGGGGCGGCGGGGCTGCTCCTGCGCCGCACACACCGCATCCCGGACCCGCGAAGCCACTCGCCGCACCCGAAGAGGCGGCTGCTATGTCAATAGAAGAGACTGCCCAGCGACAGGAATGCTTTTGCCAGGAACTACACCGAACCTTTTGGCAGGGAGGAACTTTTTCCCAGGGTTGCTTCGTCTCCAGCCGCCCTACCGGAGTCCCTTGCTCTTCCCCTACACACACACACACACACACACACACACACACACACACACACACACGGAAATGTCAACTTCCTTTCCTGACAAAATTCGGGCGAATGGTTTTTAGTAAAGCCCCCTATAAGAACATTTGCAAGGATGCTAAAGACAGCCACCGCGGGGAGGGCTACAGCCCCGCCAATGGAGCCAGGCACTAGGTGATTTCGTTCGAAACAATGTTTCCAAAGAAGAAGGTTACAGCAAAATACCAAATGCAAGCACCTACCCTCGGCCTTTCTAGCAAATAGTTCTCACTAGTTATTGTTCCTCAAATTCCCATCTTCTCAGGCTCCTAATCTTCTGGACACCTGGAGTTGAGCTCCGAATGACTCAGGGAGCTGAGATAATTAACATGGAGGGGAAAATGGGAATTCGAATTAGTTGCAACACTTAAACAGGGGGGATGTGGGATTGTCATTTAATCTCTTCTAGGCTTTCAGAAAATACCCTCTGGCCATTCTGCGTGCCCCCTCCCCCTCCGGAGTTGGAAGAAAAGGACCGTCTACTCTGGCTGCTTTTATGAAGCTCCATCTTCCAGTTCTCCTATGGGTCAAGTCGGTGCAGTTGTAGGAGGAATTTTGACTTTGTTTTTAACCTTTTATAACAGGGGAGACAAATGTCTGACACAGGCACATGTTCACATCTTCTGGACAGTCACTCACACTTGGTGTCTAACTTAAAGGGAGTTGCATTCCATCACTAATCAGAATTTAAAAAAAAATTCTTTCCAACCTTTTTTTTTCTTGTTATTGCCTTACGCAATGTAGCAGAATATTATTTTTGTCTTTCTTCTTTAAGGAGTAGCATTGTCAGCTATTCAAAAATTTTAAATGTTTTACTTTTTCCCCCGATCCTTTTACCAGCCCTTCAATGATACCCAAATCTACTAGGTAAAATTTACATGTGACTACCGGCCATGTTCTATGTGGCCAACTGAACCCTTTAAATAATACAGTTTTTAAAACTACTTCCTAGTGAATTCTATCCTCCCCTCAATAGTTATTAGTAGGCAAACTTTTAAACGCCGACTTGGAACATTTTAAAGTCCTATACAATGTCCAGTAGCCTGCAATTTCACCCTCAGAAAAAGCGGGGTCTTTGCTCCTATTCCTATTTCACAGAACCAAAGTCTGACTCTGTAGTGCTTTCCTTATTTTCAATTTAAGGGAGATGGAGATACATTTCTTACTGCCCTCTGTTTACTGTTCTGAGGTTTTACAGATGGCTACTGCATTAAGTATAATAATTTTGCCTGGATTTTTAACTGAAAGGGTTTGAGAGCCAAGGGACAAAATGTTTTCAAACTTCAGCTTCACTTATACTGTAACTTTCACAAAGGATCTCCTTAAAAGTCCTGTCCTTTTACAAAATGCATCAAAGAGACGGTGGAGACTGGGGAATTTTTGAGGTTGGATTCGGATTTGCATCCTCAAGGGTCCCTTTCAGAGAGTAGTCCAGGGTGCCAGAGACGGCCCTGTTCTCCCTCCCTTTTTTGGCTTCCCTCTCCAGGGTCTTTTTTGCCTTCTCTCTGCCTTCTTGGGTTGTCTTTTCATTCTCTACGAGGTTCCTTCACACTGAGGTGTTTATCTCTGAAAATCCACGAGAGATCTAGAGCAACGCTCCGTACATCCGTGGTGAGGACGCAATGAAAGAGAAATTGTTTGAAAAACGATAATTAAGATCCAGTCGTCAGTTCCTTCCTCGTCCTATTTTTTTCGGTAAGCGTAGAGATTTTATTTCGCTAGCGTGTGCTCTCTCTTCCCTTGTCTCCAAAGAGCGTTGTGTGTGATAATATGTTTAGTAAAGTCACAACTCTTTTTTCCTCGTCTTTCTTGTTTCTGTTCCCTTTTATTAGGTGAGCAATGTCTGCTATATTTTCCCCCTTTTCCTTGTCTCAGTCCCCAATTCCTGCCTCATCCCCTCTGTCAGAGCATCTATCAACGTGGTGTCGATCACTGCGGCTGCGGCTGTCTCTTTGATCTTCCTCCTCCTGCCTGAGCTTAAGGGAGGGAGAGTGGGAGGCGGAAAGGAGGTGGGGGAGAGACTGGCAGAAGACGAGGAGTGGGTGGGTGGGTGAGGGCAACAGAAGAGATGCTTAGATGATGAAGTTAAGCCATTGCTGCAGAGTTTCTTGTCAATTTCACGCGGGCAAAGCTTGCTCTGGGTGCGTTCGGAGGAGCGCCGCGTCTTTCCCTCCCGCTCCAGGTTGCCTGATTTTCCCCTGCAGGCGAGCGCGCGCACGCGGACACATACACACACACGCACGCACGCACACACCCCAAAACCAGGACTTGTCCTACAGGCTCGGGGAAAAGAAATAGGGAAGGGAAAAAAAAAATAAAAGCCTTCAATCACCACCTCTTTCTCGCCGACTCCCTCCTCCCCACCGCCCCCCCTCACCCCAGCGGGCAGCCAAGGAGAGCAGGAGGCGGGGGAGGGGCGGGGGAGGAGAAGCGACGCAAGTGAGTAGCTTTTCAGCGCCGGCCGGGCGCGGGAGGAGGAGAAGCTGCGGGGAGGCGCAGCCGCTCACCTGCGGGGCCAGGCGCGGAGGAGGGACCAGGCTGCGCGCTCTTGGGCCGTAGGAACCAGGACGTGCCCGGAGCCTAGCCAGCGGCCACGCTCCGGGTGTCCCCCTCCCGCCGGCCCGGCAAACCAGAGGGCCGCAGCAGCTCTTTGCTTTGACAGAGGGGAGGCGTGGAGAGCGGCGAGTGAGAGCGAGCGAGCCAGGCTGAGAAACTCGAGCCGGGAACAAAGACGGATCGGGCTGTGTGTGTGTGTGTGGGTGTGCGTGTCGGCTTGAGCTCCAGGCAGAAGCATTGGGGACCGAGGCTCCTGCTGGGACTCCCCAAGACCCCGCCGTGCCCTCCACCGACGATCCCAGGGCTCGTTGGCACAAACTTTATTCTTGGCAAACTTCTTCTCTTTCTCTTCCCCTCCTCCTCCGCTCCCCACCACCTCCTCCTCCTCCGGCAGATTAAATGCTCCTCGAGAAGGAAAACCGAAGCGAAAGGGAAGGAAATAAGCTCTAAAACGGACATCTCCAGCTCTTTATTTTGCTTGCCCTTCAGGAAGTGGACTTTTCATGATCTTCTGATTCTCCTTGCGCCTCTACTCTAGCAAACGGAGCCTTTCGGCCCAACTCTCCTCTCCTTTCTCGGAGAACAAACTGAAGTCAGCATCCGAGGAATCTACGGTGGAGAGGGTTGCACATCGACGCGCCACAGGTCCCTCCTTGGCACTCTGGGTGTCGTGTCCCCTATAGAACCGGCGTCCTCCGCGCACAGATCCGGGCAACGGAGGGGACGAGGTGGCCCGCCCTGCGGGGGCAGGCTAGCCTAGCGCGCGCGGCGGAGCGGACAGACGCCCCTGAAGGCGCCAGTTGCGGCGGCCTCGCAGCCCCGCGCCCTTGGGCCTCAGGGGCGGGCGCCCGCGTGGGTCTCCGAGCAGTGGGAAAGCGCGGGCGGCCACCGGGGATCGGGTGCCGCCGCAGCTGCTCGGGCTGCCGGCCTCACGCTCGCCCCCCTCGCTTCCGCCCGCGGTCCTCCCTCACGCACCCTTCCAACTCTCCTTTTCCCTTCTCCTCCTGCACTGAACCCCCTCTCTTTCCTGCTGTCGCCGCTGGTGCTCCCACCGCGGAGCGGAGATTACAGAGCGGTCGGGATGCCCCAACTCTCTGGGGGAGGCGGCGGCGGCGGGGGGGACCCGGAACTCTGTGCCACCGACGAGATGATTCCCTTCAAAGACGAGGGCGATCCCCAGAAGGAGAAGATCTTCGCCGAGATCAGTCACCCCGAAGAGGAAGGCGACTTAGCCGACATCAAGTCCTCCTTGGTAAACGAGTCTGAAATCATCCCGGCCAGCAACGGACACGAGGTGAGCTGGCCGCGGCCTGAGCCCCAAGAGGTGTGGCGGGTCCCCAAGAGGAGGAAGGGAGCGGTCTCTCATTTGATAGGGGCCTGGGGGGAGGTCGCGGGCCCTAGTCCACGTTCCGCGCGTGTGTTGCAGGGTGGTAGGCGTGTGGGGTTAGTGGGGAACTTACTCCAAGTGGATCAGTTTAGGGCTTCGGTGGCTAAACGGTTGGTTTACGGGCAGGAAATGCTGCCCATAACCCACAACGTTTCGTCTGGGGACTTTTTGATCGGGCCAAGGGGCGCGATGCATTAAAGCGAGGATGTCTGAACAGTCCTGAGAGGTTCACCCGTGGGACGGAAAACAAAGTGCACCCGCTATCTCTCAGTAGATGTCTGCACAAGTGCGTTAAACCACCAAAGGCTCAGATGAGCAGAGCCCGAGGCAGGAGGAAGGAGAGGCGGGCGTGGGCCGGGGGGCAGGCGAGGCGCTTCCAACCGCCACGGAACAGGGGGCCACGAGGAGCCGGTCTGCCGAGGGGGCGCGCGCCCGGGCTGCGGGGGCGTGCGGGGCTGCATCCCTGCGGCTGCAGGAGCCCTGGCGCAGGAGGCGCGCTGCAGGGAGCCCAGCTACGTCTTGGGTACAGATGCCTCTGCTCCACCGCCCATCACTTAACTACCCAGCCACCCTGATTGGGGTTAGATGGGCCCGAATCAGGCCTGCGATCTTTGCAGAAGAAAGGCAAGCCTGGGTGCAGAGGCGCGGAAGCCGGACCCGCTCCGGGAGGGTGGAAGGAGCTAGATCAGGTCCCCGGCCGGCTGCGGGCCGCAGTGCGGGTAACCCGAGTAGAGTAAATAGAGACACGTGGGTACCGGCGCGAGAAGCCGCGAGCCCGGCCGCGCGGGACGGCTATTTCAGGCCGCGCCAGCGCTTCAGATGGGGAGCGGGGACACGACCCTGATATACGACACCCCGCTGGCCACTCTTGTTCAGCAGGTGGGAAACCCTTCGGAGGAAATCCGCTAGAAAGGTCCTGACACCCAAACGATTCCACCAACGTCTTTCCCAACAGAGAAACTTGGAGGGTACCCCTTTTGCCTTAAATGGCATCCTTCTGCCCCAAAAAAGAAAGCGCGTGGTTTTGGGGGCGGGGACATTTTGGGTTTTAAACGACTTGTTTAAGAACACTTTAGAGTTACACTCTATCCCGATGGCAGGGGTGAGTACGCCTTTTGGAAGGCTGGGGGCCTGGGTTCTGAGGAGAATATAAGGGTGTTTTTTTATCCGCAGAATCCAATTCGAAGTCGATGGAGGTGGGGGAACTAGGGTGCACCCAACCCCACTTAAACGATTTGGGTGGGAGGTTCCGGGGTGGGGGGGGGGAACGGACACAGGTCCAAGGAACCAAATAACGTCCAAAACGCTCAGGCTTTTATTTTTTTTTTTTTGGCCAGAGTCTGTAGCCTCTTTCAGCTCCTTCCTCAGTTGGGTAAATATATTTACCACCCACTTCACGTTTTCTACACTTTTTTTTTTCTTTTTTCTTTTGGTCTGGAGAGAAGGCATTGCATTGGAAAGTGAGGTTCACAGGTGTTAGGGTTCTGTTAATATTGCCCTGGTGGTAGATGGGCATCAGCACACCCAAGGAAGATGGTGAAGGGTGATACCACTGATTTGCACGTGGTTGAGTCGGGTTGGATGGTGGTTACCAACGCTGGTATTAACTGGACTGTTAGATGTCTACAACTCCACTCTCAATTTTTCCTCTCTTTAACCACAGAAGGCTTTTACTTTTCTGTAAACCTTCACTCACCCAGCCATAGCAGGTTGGTTTGTAAGCCAGGAGTGGAGCTCCAGCTGGGACTGCTTTTGGGACAATTTCCTGAAGACTCCATCTGAGTGGTTGGCTTGTGGATATTTAAAATGCATTTTCACTTGCAAAATAATATTTCAGCTGGCTTTTACTCAGAGCTAATTGATCAGTGGTTGAAGAGGCTGTCAAACTATCAACCCTCTTATTGCTCCTTATCAATTTGGACACCCAGGTGGTTTCCGTAGGTTTTGGGAAACAGCAGTTGGAACAGCATGTGGTTATTGCCAAATTTACTACATTTTTGTTGTCGGCCTTACTTTTTGGTTCTGAGTAGTTAATAAGCACTCAAAATACATATTCAAAGTGAAAAGATGCCCCATATTCAACCCTAGCCTATCCTTAGGTGAATGCAATGGATAGATTGGATTGCCCCCCAGACCTCTTCCTTTGAGTTACCAGCAGACCCAGTTATCATTATTGTCATAAACTCTAAGGTGATCTTCTTTCTTTTGGGGGCGGGGATTCACGTTGTTAGGTGGCCAGACAAGCACAGACCTCTCAGGAGTCCTACCACGACAAGGCCAGAGAACACCCCGATGATGGTAAGACCCTTCAGTTCTACTTCTCCCGGGTTATCACAGGGCATGTGTAATTTGCTCTGTAGGCTTGTTTTGCTGTCTTGGAGCTCAGGAGGCCAGCGTCAGATCTAAGACTATGCCCACTCTTTTAATAAAATAGGAAAGAAACCCAGCTCTCCGGCATGTGTTACTTCATTTTAAAACTGTTTTGAATGAGTTAGAGGCCTTTGGATTTCAGTTGGCTTCCAGACTTTTGGAGAAGAGGGAATGTTTATAATGAGTTCTTTTTCAACAAGAAGAGTTTTGAATGGATTTTCATTTTCAAAATCGCTCTTGCTGGTTTCTTGTTACCGTGAGAAGGCAGGCAGTGAAAGAACATACTGAATATGGCCTAGTAAAACAATCCAGCTTATAAAATGTGGAAGTTATGATTAGGAACTATGCTAAAAAAAACTTTAAAATCTATGTATTTTTTAAAGGCGAGCTCCTTGTGATTTGAATCAGACAATCAGTAGGGCTCACTTGTCAACCAGCCTGCGTTTCTGGTCTCTTTTAATTATTTAACCATTGGCCTGACCAGGATGAAGTGTGTTTATGCATACAGCATGTCAACCAGGAGAAGGCCTGAGAACCTATACCTTAGGCTTCTGTCTCAGTGACAGAGTGGTCGCACAGATTAAAGAGAAAGCTATGTAAACGCAGCACACACAGACTTCTTTGACAGAATGATGTAAGTGCACCACATAACATTAAGTCTTCCATGGTTGATCCTTTACAGATTTGAATAGTTGCCCACATAATAGATACAATTCTCTCCCCTAGTAAAATCTAGACATTTTCTAGAAATGCAGAAGGATAGGTAGAATTTTTTGAGCCTGCCTAAAACGTGAAACACTCTATAAATAAATGTGTGTATAGAAAGATGGCCTGATTTATTTGTATTACAGTTGTAGGTTTGTGTGTGTTCCCTCATGTTCCTGTATTTCTTAGTCCACTTTGTTAGTATTAGAACAAATTAAGTTAGATGCCTAACACTTATTTTTGTAAAAACATAAGCCAGTAGTAGAAGTAAATTGAACCACATGTTTTTTTTTTTTTTAAACATCTGGTTTGCTCTAAGCCATTTAAGAGAATAAATACTGTCAATCTAAAATAGAGCATAATAATCCAGTTACAGTATTTTATAAACAAATCTCTTATGTAAAGTCTGATTTGTCTTAGAACTCTACAGTTTTCTGAGGAAAAACAGTGTTATAAAAGGGAGGTCAACACATCATTGATTGTTGTTTGGATTCTCAGGAAAGCATCCAGATGGAGGCCTGTACAACAAGGGACCTTCCTACTCCAGTTATTCTGGCTATATTATGATGCCAAACATGAATAACGACCCATACATGTCAAATGGATCCCTTTCTCCACCCATCCCGAGAACAGTGAGTAACATGCTGATGTTGCAAATTATTTTTAGAAGTGCAAATTAATTTGTATTTTGGCAGAATGCATGTTTTTTCAAGCACATTGGAAAAGCTTTCATTATATATGACCAATCATTGCTAAATAAGAGTTGGTATAGGAATGATCATCTTAAAACAGTGCTATCTTTGAAGGCTCGCATTTGGAATTTTAGTTGTTGGCTTATTGGCTAATATTAATAAATAACGGGATCACAAGTCATGCAATCAAATGAAGCTAAGTCAACAACAAATCCATGATTTTATATGTACTATGCTTTTTATGCTGAGGACAGAAAAAACAAACAAACAAAAGAAAACCATGGACTTGGTCTCTCAGTTAACTAAAGACCAGATAGCTTCTAACACCCGTAAGCTATCTGAACTCAGAACTGTTCAGGCTCGTGTAAAAGTGAACATTTAAATTGTTTCTCTGGCTTTTAAAAGTGTGTTTTATTGTATTAGCTATTGTTTTTAGGATGAAGGGAGGATGAGCTTATTTTTACTTCACTGTCAATTGTTGGAGAATTTTTGCTTGAAAATAACTTAACGAAAGTCATCCCTTTTTTAATTTTGTGGTTCAGCTAACTTGTGAAGCTCTAAAAGTGCAGTGGCATTCCAACCAGATCATGCAGGTGCATAATATCATGATGAGGTTCACATTTGTCATTTTATGCTGTTGCTTTTCTCTTGAGAAGTTTTTATGTAGTGAGAAAGCATCTTGTGCAATATGAATGTGAATGTGCTGATGGAGAATCTTCCCTCCAGCAGTGAGATGGATTTTTCCCTGATCCATCAATATATTTACTTTCTCTCCAGCCCCACTGTCCCTCCACCACCCAGCCCCCAGTGAAGAACACATATGTCTGAGTCTTGGGGCTTGAGGGTCTCAGTCAGCCTCACTAACTCTTGGGTACTGAATCTATAATCGATTAAATGGAACCTGTCATCTCTTTCCATTGCTTCTACAAACTGGAAAAATAATCAGTCACAAACATCTGGAGAAAAGTAGTGTCATTAATGCCTCAGTGAACCTAATCTGAGAGTGAGAAGGTTCACCAAAGTAGCAGAGAGGAATGACTGGTAAAGAATAGTAATCAACAGGAGTGTTTGTGGTTATCTTGATGATTTGTGGCCCTCAATTATTGAAATGATGGGTATATGAAAATATCTCTCTGTGTGGGAACTGTGATCTAGAAATTATTGTAATTATTTTACCATAAATTTCAAAAGGATATTTGACCTCTCAGGTAGGGAATGAGAATTTTCTCATTTTTATAGAGCTGCTAAAATGCAGATCTTGGAGCTCTTGTGATGCCTGTCACAGTTAGAAACTATCTCATACTTAAAAAGATTTTTCAGGTATTTGATATTTAATAGTCTGTGTGTACATATGAATCTTCTACCTAAAAAGTGAGTGAATTAATAAAAGCAAATATAGTTCGTTATTTAGAGACTACCCTAAATAAGTGTTCTGAAGACTTTGTTGAACTAGATATGCAAATATGTCAGATATTTCTTTTATAGTTGGGTAGGGTTTTTTAAATCGTTTTTAGAAGGGAGAGAGAATACACTTTAGATAATTGGAGTTTTCTATTGAAGGGCTTTTTAAGACAATAAATAATCTTTCTAAATCAAATTATAGTCTTGGTAGTAATAAAAAGTTGCCACTGAAATCTGAAATGTTTTAGCGGTACGCACAGTGTTATTTGTGGATTTATTCCTTGGATCAGCTACTTTTTTCAAGCAATAATTTTTTGAAAAGTTAATAGAATTGGTGTTGGTATTTATAAATAACCCCAGGAATGTTGAAGGTAGGGCTTCCCTTCTTTTTAAAGCTAGCGTTCTGCCTTATTTCCTACAGCCTCTTCTGATCTCCAATGTACCCTCATTTTGAAATTTTGTTAGAATGGAAGGTATTTATTGTTAGTGTGTGTATGAAAATTTTGAGGTTAGTGAACCAGTCATTCATTGCTTGGGAAAGATTTGTGGGCAGGATAAATGTCAGGCAGGAGTGGAGGAGAGGGGTGTGACCAGGAAACTTTGCCCTGTTATCTGATGCTTTGCTTTACTCTTTTACATATTACAATGTATTTATTTTAGGCACAGTTTTCTTGAGATAGTCTGCAGTTTGCACCATTCCAGCTTTTCAGTTGTAACCACAAGGCTGTGTCAATTTTTCTCTTTTTCTTTTTTTTAGGATCCAACTGAAGTGAGTTACAATCTTTGGTTTTTAACACCTAACAGCTGTTTTTAATGTGCCTGAGATCAAAAACACCTTTAACCGGAAGGCAGCCTGTCTTCTTCACCCCTAACCACACTTGTGCCTCCTTGCTCTTTAATTCTGTCCTCAGCAGGACTGAGTGTTTGTGTCACTGACATCCACAATGATAGACTTTCTTGGAGGGTGTTGGGAGCAGGATGGAGCAGGATGACCATTTGTGTTTGGATTTAGGGTGAGAGCATCCCTGTGGCATCCCAGTGACTTGAATTTGCATTACAAACACTTGTTTGTTTTTTGCATCTGCTGCCCAAAAGTGTTTCAGGGAGAAACAACTAGGGGTGGGGAGGGACCTGAAGACCCTTCTCTGCATAGAGTCTTCTGTTTGTATGTGACTTAAGTCACCCTGAGAATTCCAGCTATGGCTGCCTGGCACACATAGAAATGCTTCTGCTGGAGTCTCAGTGTAACAATTCTATATGATTTGCTTGTTTTTTTTTTTTTAGACAATACTGGCCTATGCATGATCGCACAGGTTTTACCTATGGACTAATTACCATAGGTAAACCTTTATCCACCGATCCTTTACCTTCTGCAGGGAAACTTTAATTGCAAATTACCTCCTTGTAGAACTGGAGTTTTTAGGGTTGTGAGTGTCTACACCAGAAATCTTATGAATGGGTCTCCTCCAACCCGTGTTAAATAAGCATTCCTAGTTCAGATAAATTGAGCTTCAGGAGGAAGTACCTGTGACAATACACTCAATGTCAGTGTGAGTTCTTAAGGCACAAGAAACCTTGGCTAGACTTGGTCTTCCGCACAGAGAGTAAGAAGAAGATGCCTGTTAAATATTTTAGAGCCAGGACCTTAGAGAGTTTATTAAAGCACACTCCCAAACCTTTCTTTCTCTGAATCTTATTTATGAAAATCCCTGTAGGCCACTGGTAGAGTATTAAGAGAAAAAAATTGCTCTTTCCATTCCAAGCTTGTGTGCCTGAACACCCTGTGAACAGTGGGCTTGGCTGGCTCCAACATCGTCAGAGTTCCCATTGGTCAAAGGCCTTGTGGCTACCTTAGGTGTCAAACTTCCATTTTCTCCTCATGCAGCCCAAATACTTAACACCTTAGAAGAGAAACCTTGCATTTCTCTTCTGATGCCTAGGGAGGGAGGAGCAGCAGGCAGCGCAGGAAGCTGCTCAGTCCCCCAAAACCACAGCAGCACCCCAGTCCAGGCAGTGCTTCAAGCTTTCATTGTTTCTGGTTCTCTGTGATCTTTCTGAAAGTGAATTTTCAGGTAGATGAAGGAAGATGTTTGTGTTCTCCTTTCAGCTGTCTTTAAATATTTTATTAAGTAGAAACCGCTCCAAAAATATTATAGGCACTCATTTTTAGTTACTGAGAATTACTCAATTCTGTGGTATGACTTTTACCATGAGGGAATTAACATTTCAATTTCTGATTAACAACTGTACCTATTATAACTTCCTTTTACCCCCATCCCCACATTTGCATCTATTTACAAGCAGCTAAGATTTGATATTGTCGTTGTTCACATCTGGAATTAAGGAGCTAAGGTGGACTTGCCTAATCAGTGAGCATCTCAATGCCAAAGGATACTTTCCAGTGTTGCACAGCTCTGAAGTCTGTCATAGAAATAACAGCTCAAGGGTTGAGAGACTGTGGGTTATCTTTCAAGGAAGATTTTAAAGGCTGAAACTCTTTTGCTTTACTGCAAGGACCTGCGTAATTTGACTTGTTGATAAATTGCTTTTAATTTTCTAATTTCAGTTTACTTTCTGGAGCTGGGTGTGTTTGAAGTTTCCCCCTTTATTACAAGTATAGGTTTTTGAAACTAGATTCTACATGTCACATTTGTGTGTGGATGTCAGGAGAATGCATGGGGAAATTCCTCAGAGCCCCCAACTCTTCTGTTTGATCCCTTCCTAATTTTGCTGCAACAAAGTTGGGAAAGGGTCAGTGTTGGAAGAACTGGGAGCAGTTGCCATTCATCCTTCAGCTACCTTGGATATCTTATGACCAATAGTTGGCTCATTCAAGTGTCCCAAGGAATCATATTCCATGTGATCCCTTCAGGAGCTAATAATACATATATGTGATTGATTTTACTCAGATGTGTTTTTTTAAATGACCCTAGGAGTTTAATCAAAAACAGTCCTAGTTGTTCATCCATAAAGACATGAGAAAAACCCAAAAGATATTCAGTAACTCCACTAAAACAAGACCATTGAGCAAAAGATCTGCTTTTGAAATACTCCTCCAGTCCCTATCCAGGTCTGAGATTTGCTTTCATCAGTCCCATTGTTCTGATCCAGTCTTAACCTTGGCCAAGTACTTTTGTGTGATTTAACAGAACAGAGATAGGCCCTCACAAATAGGTCCACCTGGACTTGAATGTATAGTCTCATAAGTGTTTTCCCCAATGCCAACTGAGAACATTTTGCAGCTGTAGAGTTTTTTTTTTTTTTTAATTAATTCTGTTCTTTAGGTGGAACTGCTTTAGATTTATGTGTTCGAAAATTTTCTGAGCAATCAGATCACTCCATTCTTCTCTGACTCTTTTTAGAGGATTTTTCTTTTTTCCTTTTTTTTGTGGTGGTACTGGTACACTTGCTAGAGCTCTACCACTTGAGTCACTCCTCCAGCCCTTCTGATTCCTTTTGTTGTTCTTCATTGGTGTATTATAGACATGATTGAAATGTTATCAAACTGTTTTCCCTTTGATTTGGGGAAAGGCCTGAGGTTTAAAGATAACATAGGCCAGTGCTGTCTACAGCCAGCAGAAAAGCACTTGTATTTCATGTACGGGTAAGAGTAGAGCTCACCAGGTCGCAGGTGCTGTTGTCATAGGACTGAAGTTTTTTAGAAGGGGATGTTCGTTTAAAACTTACCCTTTTTAAAGTCATCGCTTAAGTGACTGTGCCAAGCTGAGCCTATCTGTAGCAAGCTACAAATAGACTTGTCAAGAGTCAGTGCTGCTTTGTGCTGTACCAACAAGTCTTTACTTATTTAGAAGAGGCAGCCATTGGGCTTTATTTAAATAATTAAAAAAAATTTTAAGAGCCAGGGGTGATGGCACAAACCTGTAATCTTAGCTACTTGGGAGGCTTAGGCAGGAAGAGTGTTTGAACCCAGGAGTTCAGGACTAACCTGGGCAATATAGTGATATGTAAATATGCTATGTATATATCATATATATGGTTCATGATCGCTTTTCAAATACTGTGTTTTTTTATGAAGTCACAATCTAGGAATTGATAGCCAAATCTTTATCAAAGCCTGAAAGTGACTTAGAGAGCAACAAGAAAGACCAAGGGTTAGATGAGGGTGAAGAGTGAGGACTATTTGTGGACTATTCTCAGAAACTGTGTAGAGGATTATAAAGTCTATCTAAACCTGAACCCACTGAAATTGTCAGCTTGCTATATGTAGATCACTTGCCAAGCTCACTGGGGGATGGTACTCAATGCCTTCCATGTGTATGGGGAAAATTTCAAGGGCAATAGAGAACAGGAGAAAGCTTTGGTGGCCTCTCCCATTTCCACATTCATGGGAGAAATATGGCAGGCAGAGACCTTGCATCACAGAAGGTCTAGAAATGTGTTTTATTTTGCAGCTAACAAGGGGCAATAGAGTCTTTTAAAAACTAGGTTATTGATCTTTGTGTCTACCTGTACCCACAAATAATCCTAGACAGAGCGTGATGACAGTTTTTGAAGATCAAATTTAATCTTCACCACAGTAATTTACTGCTGTGATGATGATGATGTTAGGGTCCTTTTAACACATATGCCTGGTGCTCCTCTACTCAATATAGAGAAAGACTGAGTGAAGGGGCAGATATAGGGACATTCTGTGAAGTAAAAGAGGAGTGACTCCAAGGCAGTTTCAATTTTCTTTTATTATTGTCAGCTTCTGAATGAAACAGTCATCAAGACAAAAATTTTAAGTCTGGTCTACTAAGATATTTATAATTCCTTTTATTTTTTTCTAATTCTGAAAACTTTGTAACAAAAACTGTCAACTGTCTGGTGGGTGGAGTGGCTTAAATGGTAGAGTGACTGCCTAGCAATATCTAGGCCCTGAGTTCAACCTCCAATACCACCAAAAAAAAAACCAAAGCTGTCAACTGTTGATGATAGCTGATCATCTGATGATCAGTTATCAGGGATCGCTGATGTGTTTTACCCCAGTAAATTTTATCAATCAATAAGGAATGTAAAGAAATTTTTTTCGCGCATTTTTTGGATATTTTAAAAATGATCTCTCCTAACAAACCAAATACTGTATGAAAAGCAAGACCTGACAGTGTCTGCTAAATAATCCTTAGACTTCTGTTTTTTCACTTGTTCTCTGATTTGTTGCATCAGCGAGTAAGAAGAATTAGATGATTGTCTTTGGTTTGTTGAGACAAACCAAAAGGTCTCATAACCTTGAACCCATGATCTTCCTGCCTCTGCCTCTCCAGTATAGACCATTGTCTTTAATGAGGAAGTCAAAGTCCGTCCTTATGGAATGTTAAGTTTCTAGGTAACAGCTGAAAATAGCCAGAAGAGCAAACTGGTAGAATCAGAAGGATTGGGATAGCACCCTCATGAAGATTGGTCACAAGGCATTCTTATTTCTTACTTAGATCCTAGAAACCTAATTGAAAAAAAATTGAGATGATAGAAATGCTTTTTTCAGAAGGGTACTTGAGATGGAATATAATAATAATAAAAAGAAAATCATCCTTAAGTATGTTTTAGTAGCTAACACTTTTCAGTTCTGCTAGAAAGGATTTTTTTTTTCCTGTAACACTTGAGGTGTTTTCAGATATTAGAAAAGTCTGTGTATTCTTTTACATGTATGTGGAAACTAGTGCTGTCTTTTGTAGGCCAGTGTGTGTTGTAAATTGATTACAGCCTTTGGCAATTCGGAGGACAAAAGTTTTTGAGTTTATTAGGGGTAGGAAGGCAATCCCTAAGAAGACAGAGCTGATGTAGGGAAGTACTAGCTTAGATGTTGGAAGACCTAAGATCTTGTCTCAAGTCACTGCCCTTTACTGAAGGCGGTGAGCCTCTGTCAGCCTCTGTTTTCTTTCTTACAAAAGGGTACATTCCATCTATCAACCAGAGATTGATGTGAAGTTCTGGATGGCACAAGCTTGAGTGAGCACTGCATTTCTCAGTGTGACAGCAGAGCAGGAGTCTAAGAGGGCGTGAGCCAGGGCTCAGTTACCACCTGGTAAGACTTTTGCAGCCATGAGTGATGGCATGGCTGGACCCAGGATGCTCTGGAAGAACAAAAGACACTTAAGGTTCTCATCATGCCAGGATGGTGATCTGGCATCTGGGTAACGGCTTTACATTAATCCTTAGAAGGTGTTCACAGGAATACATTTTGGGAATTGTCACAGTGTTCTTTCCAGAGGGTTTTTTTTTGTATGAGTTTTCTTCTCTCTTTTCTCATGTTGGGAGAGCACCTGGTTTTACTCTTTAGCATCATAGTGTTAGGGAGTAGGTTTCTAAATTTCAGACTCATTAGCTGAAAATCTCATATCCTTCTAGTATTTGATATGGAATTGCC